GCTTGCAATAATGTAATAAAGGATGCGAGACAGCTTGGTTATTTTGTCATAATTGTTATCTTTGTTACATATTTTTTTCTAGGTCATACAGATAATGAAGATATAAATGTCACTATATTTCATAGGAAATGGTATTTGAAACTGCACTTATATACCTATAGTCTTCAAATTCATAAAAATATAAACATTTAAATGCCCCTTCAAAAGTTCCATGTTTTTATTTTAAAATTTAAGTATTTTAAAAATCATTTCCTTTTCAGAAAATCAGATAAAACCAAAGAGGTGTCACAAGAAGGTTCGGGAAGGCTCACCCTATGTCCAGAAAGCCAGCAACCCATGCCAGGTGTTTCTGGTTGATCTCTCCATCAGAGGGAGGAATATACAGCCAAGGGGGAGTCTATTAACCACATGCTTGTGTCACTGAGAAAACCAAACCACAATTTTTAAAAAACTGTTTAACCTTGCGTGGAATTAGCAGGAAGCCTGGCCTTCGCTGGAAGCCAACTGATATGCAAAAGAAAACCCCACCTGTCTTATGAGATACCCTGGCTTTGTCTCTATGTACCCTTGGGCAAGTACCAACCCCTCTCTGTCACTTTCCTCACCTCTAAAATGCTGGCACAGTGGTTGCAAAGATGAAATGAGATGCTGTATGTGAAGTGCCAGGAATGCAGCAAACATGCTGATGGAACATCCTTAGCCCTTCCTCTGCCCGGCTAACTTTAAGATTTCCCTGAAGGGTCACAGCCTCTGTGAAGCCCTCCCTGATGCCCCAAGGCCCCTACCACCCCCCACCGGTGTCTTCAAATGTAAAATGACTGCTGGCTACTTGGCATTGGCACTTCACCTGCTTGTGTGGGTCCCGAGGCCTGGGATGGTGTCTTGGTCACCTCTCTGCTTCCAGCACCTGGCAAAGTGTAAAGCAGCATGCAATCATTACCATGTAGCCTTTCTGATAACACACAGTGACATCTCCGGAAGCCTAGTCTTAAATAATATTGCAAATGAGATTATATGAACTTTTTACGGGTTCTTCCTTCAAGTTGCAGTCTCTTAGGAAAGGTGGCTTCTATAACCTAGGCCCTTACAGTAAATACTGCTGAGACAGAAAAGTATTTGAGTCAATTATTTTGCATTTACTGGTAAGTTATAAATAACAAAGCAATCTGACCTAAAAGAAGAAGGCTCAGCCCTTGCAGAGGCAGCGGAGCCCTGCCAGCCACAGGCTTCCTGACTGGTCCTTGGAAATGGAAATAGGGAATGAAAGGAGCCTCTGATCACAGGAAAGGCTGGGAAGGAGACAGAGCTGCAATTGTACCAAGTTTTGATCTAAAAGGAGTGACATGCACAAAAGGAGAGTGATGTGGGCAAACCCATGAAGAGAGCCTTTCTGCATTCAGGTATAACAACTGATGTTTGTGCCCAATGCAGAGCTACTCTGCGTAACCATGGCAACCAGGACCCAGGCTATACTCGCATTGTGCAGAGTTTCTGTGCTGTTTGTTATTTTTTCTTATGGGCCACAGGTAGGGAATTTGGCGTTGGTGGTATTTTATGAAACATCCATTTGCAACATTGCCAATGCAGGGAGGGAAAATCACTTCTCTTCTACACATCTATGTTCTTGGCTGCGGTTGTGTACCAAAAGGAAAATTAACCAGAAGAATGCATACACATTTGTTTAATGTAAGTTTTACATGACACAAGAGCCTTGATCAGGAACTAAATAGCCAAAGAAACGGTTAAACCCAAGTGGTTTTATACTCGCTTTGATGAAGAGCGGAAAGCCATGGGAAAATGTGATAGGACAAAGGGTATGAGCCAAGGGTAGGGGTCTGTGGGAAACCTAGCGAGGCTGTTCATTCAGACTCCTCTCAGCATCTCTCTATCTGGAGCCATAAGAATGGTCTTTCCCTCAGGTGTGGGGAGGGCGCCTCTCACTGGAGGGTCCTATGACCCGCATCAAGGGAGAAGGGGGAGATCAGAGAGTCTCTCCTACATCTGCCAGTTCTCAAATTCCTTCAGCTTAAAGTACCCTATATGCCAAGGCGCCATATTTTGGGGTAGCGTGTTCTGAACCCCAGCATCTAGGACTCTGTCAACCGTTAACGGTGCAGGGAGACCTGCCTTTGTGCACTCGTGTTTGAAACCAGGTACGTGAAATTTGGGCCATCAAGGGTCAGTTGAATCTTATCACTACCAACTCCCTAGCTTCCACAGCTTCCCATCAGGCTTGGAGAAAACCCCGAAGTCCTCATCATGACTGACAGGGCCTTCATGAACCCGGTGGCTCCTTGATTTCACCTGTCACCCTCCTTCCCCTTGCCACTACGTCTCAGCCCCAGTGGGCCCTTGCTGTACCTTGTCTGTGACGGGCACCCTTTGCCCTGGGGCCGTTTCCTGTAAAAGTGATTTTAAATTAAATGAAGGCTCCTTTACCCCACAAGCAATTATTTTTCTTAAGAAAACAAAAACAAAACTCTTCATTTTAGGGAATAAGACATAGGATGTGAAAGAACAATGATCTATGCCCAGAAAATGTAATGCTATCTCATTGGCTAAAAGAAAAAAAAAAAAACACCCAGATTACTATTTTCCTAACTCTAGTTGCGAAAGTCACTAACAAAAGTTAATATAAAATGAGAGAGACTACCTAGACTTTTACATCTGAGAGTGTAAAGGAATTTCCATTTCAGGTGTTTTTGTCTAAAATTTAGTTTGCAAAATTCCAGTATAAATAAAAAGTACCCACCCAAAAAACCCCAAACCTCAAACATACACGAAAACCCCCCTAATCCAAAGCAAACACTGGCATGAACTAATCATCCTTGGTTTTCACATACTGTGCTCTTTTGTACTCACTGAATAGTTTTTAAGATCATTCTAAGTCACGTGAAACCATACTTCATGAAACTTGAAGTTTTAGGTGACTTTGCAAGTTTCTCTTCAAAAGATTAACATGTCGCATCTGAATAAGCAGCCCTAGGAAGTAATAGGGAGGAAAGAGATCAAAATAGAATTCACACTTGATGGCCGCAAGCTGATTTCTTCAAAACCATTTGAACACACGAAGACATGTAAGTTTTGAGCACCTTTTGGGGGTTCTGCCATGAGGCACGTAAACTGCGTGTGTGCACTCAGGCCTTCAGAGTTCTGGCAAAGCAAGTGAAGAAAGCTGGGAGAAAAGACCTTGTGAAAATGTGTCGGTTACATAGTTGGAGATAACTCAGAAGTAAACTTGTTAAAGCTATTACAATTAACATCGTATGAATTTTAAGAGAGAAAAAAAATCACATGGACGACTTGTGTTGAAACAATTATACTGATTGGTTAAACACTGTAACGCCTCAAGGAAGTCATTTCCTTTTCAATTCATTTATTAGAGAAGTGTTGGCAGATTCAAAGGCTGAAGCAATGAACTTCCTCTGACAGATTAATCCCTGTCTCTGCATAAGCAGAATTGGAACTTCAGGCCCCGGGGCGGGGATCAGAGGTTGCCACCCCAAGATATGCGATCCTGGCATGAGGATCATTCTGAGCTGAAAGCAGATTAAGAAAAAGCAGACACAGGATGAGCTCCCCATCCTCCCAGACAGCAGGACATAAACTCCATTCATGAATTTTTGTACCAGGAAGCGGGTAACAACCTTATCACCAGAAAGAGAGCACTAAGAAGAGTCCACACAAACAAACCTGACTAAATAACTTCCATCTTCCGTTAGGTCCCTCATATATTTGCTTTCCCAGTTTACTGCCCCTAGAAGCCCAAAGCCCCTTTACTTTGTCTTGTTACTCCTCTACAAATGTACTGTTCTTTGTTAAGATGCCAGTTCTAACCACCCCTTTGCATTACCCATCACTGAGTTTCTCCCGCATGTATCATGCTACAGCGTTAATAAACTCGTTTTCCCTTGTTAATCTGTCTTCTGTCAGTCTAATTTGCAGCCTCAGAGCCTAAGAGGGTTTCTGTCCTCCCCTACGGACCTACCACACATGCCCTTGAGAACAGGAAGACTCCCTCACATCAGAAACCAAACGTCACAGTTGAAGAGTTTATATGCCTTGGAGAACTTTGTAAAGAAAAAAAATACATGACTCCTTCAACTAATCAAGGACTCAAAACAAACTACTGTGGGATTAGTTATAGGCTAACTTTTGGAGCTTAAGGGAGACCTGTAAAGTGAGAAAAGAGAGGGGAAAATAACAAAGCTCTAGTTACTCAATGTTAGAGCCTCCAGGAACTATTCATTCAGTCCCACATCTCCAGGAACACACTGCTCAGAGGTCACCGCGGGGGCAGTCTCCCACGGTGAATTTGGAGGAAGAAAATCTGGGAGCAGTTCCAGTTGGGCTATCTATGGCAGTGCAGCCTGGGCAAGTCGTGGCACCTCTGTGGACCCGTTTGATCATCTGTAAAGTATACAGAATAACAGTCTTTTCTCAGAGCTGTGAAAAGAACCAAGCGAGTGCCTAAGGATGAGCAGTGTTCCACTCTGACTGTATCTTAAAATAACTTGTGGTATTAAAAGAAATATTGAAGCCTGGGTCACAGCCCATAGATACAAAGGTAATTGTTCAAGGGTGGGCTCTCCCCCTCGGTGAGGGTTCAAAGCTGCCCAAACGATTCTAACTCGCAGCTGCTGCTGAGAACTACAGGCCTAATGCTACAGTGGCGCTTCTCAAACTATCTTGGACAGGGTCAGGAGGGATTCCTGCCAAAATGCAGATGCGGATTCAGTAGCTTGGGGCCTGAGAGCCTGCATTCCCAACAGGCTCCTGGGTGATGCTGAGCCACGCTCAGCCACTCTGTGGATGGCAAAGTACTAAGTGGCCACAGAGTGCAACGCCAACAGCCATCCGCTCTCCATCCAAACCATCAACTTTCAGTGACACTGGGGTGAATTTCAGCAAACTACCTTCTTTCCTCCTTCTTAGGGTTGTTTTAAGAACTGTGCGTGTAAGATTTTAAAAACAAGCATGAAAGGGCGATACAAATAAAAGGCAGCACTCCTGTTACGTGGTATTGAGAACATTTATTTACAACTACAAGCACACCCAATTGCTGTGGTACCACTGCTCTCCACACTCATTACAGATGACATAGGTCATCATTTCTTCGTCTGGGTTGGATTTCCGCACCCAGCTTGGAAGGAAAAGTGTCCCTCTGGCGATTACAGTGACCTTGCAATTGAACTTCTCACAGCGTCTGCATTTTATTTTCTTTGTCGGTGTGCCCTCAGTCACTTGCGGAAGGCAATGTTCCTGTATGCCACATTCCGTATAGGAGGCTCTCAACTGTTTCAGTTCCTTGCTTGCCATTTCCATCACCGTCATTTCAGCGAATTCTCTCGGTGACATGGCCCCAGAGAGCAAGTTTTGTTGCAAGTGAGAATTTTTGGGGTTCTTCAGATTGGCAACTTTGCTTCTGATACAAGTTTTATATTTTTTGAGGTTCCTTGGATACAGGGTAAAAATGTGCTCTTCAATTTCTCTTGCCAAGTTGTGCCACAATTCGGCTTTGGGCTGATCGGTGGAAGAACTAGTCAAAGCTTCATAGAGCAGCTCTGTGCATTTAATTCTCACGGGCACAGCAGGATCCAGCGACTCACTTGATCCCCTGCCTGTGGATTTAGGGCCATCACCCATGACATGCTCTTCCTTTGGTTCCATTTGACTAGGGCTATCTTCAGGCACAATCACTTCGGTGGCTTGAGCCATAACGTCTTGAGATGATAGCAGAGAACCAGAACTGGAACTGCCCAATGTCTCCTCTTGACTTGAGTCATAAGAAAGTCCTGAGTTTCTGTTATTTCCACTGGTAGGGAAGAATGTGGGGTCCCGTGGTTTGAAATGAGGATCCTTGTAAAGAGCTTTCCATTTTGACAGCAAACACTTGGCTTTCTTTTTCAAAGCCACTGTGGGGCAGTTTTTGAGGACTCTGTACACAGCTCTGACGACATCTGTCTGCTGGAGATGCTCCTTAGTCACATGCAGAGTTTCTAGCTCAGTCAGGTGGTTGCCAAGATCCTCAAAGTTCCTTTCAGACATCAGCTGCTCAATAAGGGAAGCTCTGGCAGCTATCTGGGTCCTGTCAGACATTTTCACAGCTGCAAAGAAAACAGAGTTTTCCATTTTCTTAGGCTTGCGTTTACCAGTCATAGCTTCCTGATAGTAGCATAGTACTTTCTGCCACTCAGTGTTTCTAAAGGAGTTACATAATAAAAATAGGTGTGACGTGTTAGAAAACGGGATCTGCAGTGTGGCATGGTTAAGTTTCAAAAGTTTGATTCTCAGTCGTTTTTAAAAAATGGCACTGCCAACGGCTTCTGCATTAACTGCATCTTAAAGGAAGCTTGCTAGAAGATCTGCTATAACTTATGCCACCTCTGATTTTACAATCAATGGGCTTCCGGGATCATGATTGGTCAGTTCCCTTGCATGCATGGAATTTAGTGGTCACGTTGGGGATGAAATCATGCCAGTGTCAACATCCGCAGGGTACGGCTGAGCAAGGCTGGACTACTTCCCCCCATACTCAGCCATATAACAGAACTACTGGCTGATTTTATCATCTTTACATGGCACTTTTATGAATAGAAAAGAATGAGAAACAGGACAAAGGGGGATACTGTTTAGATGTCCCAAGGAATCTAAAGAAGTCGTGAGCTAGCACAGGTTGGGAGGCAGTTGGAGCCGCCAGGTCTGATGGGCCCCCAGGTGTTCAACGGGCCCCACAGTACTGACATCTGAGTCTTCTGATCAATGGGGTAAAGGTTCAGACTAGGCAATGCAGAGGACTTATGACTTTGGAGTAGCTGGTCCCTAGGCCAGAGATTGGTTCTGTTAACTTTTTTCTTTTTTTACCTTTTAAGTGTAAGAAGTTGCTTGATGACTACATCTGTGTGAATCTCATCCTGAGCAGGCAAGGGTTTACTTGACCTAACTTGTCCATTTTTCTCTCCACGTCATTAATGTACATAATCTTGCCTACATGATACCTGTGGATCTGTATCTGCCCATGTGGTCTACCATGAACATGAGCATCTTGATGGCAGGGACCCTGTCTTTTAAAAAATTCATGGACTCCCATTTTATCGTACTTGATATTAAATAACCATCACTGAAGATACTCAGGCTAACAACGCTGAAGTGATTACAGAGGGAATGAATGCAGGCTTCCTAGAAACTGTCTGACAAGTGCTGTAAAATATAATGTCCTTTTAGTTAGCATATCTACTTCCATAAACTTACTTTCAGGAAATGAGAGACGTGGAGGCTGTATGTGTAAGAATTTTCTTCAAAATGAGAAGAAACTAGAAGGCCCCAAATGGTTAAACTTCCACATAAATGTTCATAGAAACATTATTCATAACAGACAAAAAGTAGAAACAACCCAAATGTCTATCAACTGATGAATACACAAAATGTAGTATATCCGTACAATGGGATGTTATTTGGCAATAAAAACAAATGAAATTCTGATACATACCACAGCATGGATGAGCTTCAAAAACACTATGCTACATTAAAGGCACAGAAACCACATATTGTATAATTTCATTTTACGAAATGTCCAGAACAGGCAAATCCATAGGGACACAAAGTAAATTAGTGGCTGGCTACGGCTGGGGAGATGAGTGAGTAGAATGAGGAGAGCGGCTCTTACGGGGTACAGAGTTCTTCCTGGGTGAGGTGAAAAATGTTCTCTAAAGCTCATTGTGGTGATGAGTTGTGCAACTGTTAAAATACTAAAACCCACACATACCATTAAAATGAACCATCTTAACCCTTTTTCAAGTGTACAGTTCAATAATGTTAAGTACAACCAGTGTTGTGCAACCAACCTCCAGAACTCTTCTCATCTTGTACGCTAAAGTGTCCACTTTAAATAGGGGAATTGTATGGTACATAAATTATATCTGAATAAAACTGATATTTAGAAACAACATACAGAGCCTGAACCAAATTTTACTTAAAAATCACATGTGAAAGGCCGAAAACAGATACACGAAATTTTAGACTGGCATTTTCTGAATGGTAAGATTAAGGTGATTTTGGTTTGTTCTCTTACTCTTTTCTATACTTCCTATGATGCGTATTATTTTCATAAGCAGCAAAGTTACTAGTTTAATATAATTTCACGATGAACTCTATAGACATTTAAGATATATGCCTATTGAAGAATGGCGATGTAAATGGACCACTCAACCCTCCCTCTGGAATCAGAATGGCGGAAACGTGCTCCATCGCCGAGGGCTCTGCATTCAGATTAGCATTCACAATCTCCTCAGACGGCTGTCGCTGGTGCTGAAACAGCTGACTCTCCCCTCAAATTTTACCACCAAATATATGAATTAAGTACCCTTGGCCACAGCTACAAGGTGCCTCCTCGTGTTTCCCTATAGGTCAGCTCAAGAATGACCAGGATTCCCTGTCTTGCATTTTTACCACCAGAATGTAGACAACCTGGGCAGTCTGTTACTTATTTATTTTTATTACATTTTTTAATTTTTTTTTTTAGTCATTTAAGAGTCCATGAATGGACCAATGTGCCACCAATTCAGGATCTTGAGTGGCTATTTTTCTAATTATCAAGATTTAGTACTTCGAGATCATTGTTTTTCCTTTTTTGGGATTCCACCTTTAAAAGACTGAAGACAGTAAATGAGGTCTTCCCAAACATCAAAGGCTCAGTAAACAAAGAACAGGCAAGATAGCACAGAAAAATCTTTTAAAAATATACACCCTCAATTGCTGGATATTTGCTTCAAAACTGCCCGCCTGAGATCTCAGGGTTTGGAGGAAGTCAATGAAGCATGTCATAACGAGGAGGTCTCCAGCCCTCCCCGACTTGCTGGAAGGTTTCCTAACAAAGAAGAAATATTCATCCCGTCTGCATTCTATATTCATTCTATGTGCATTAACCCCAAAAGAATCAGGATTGGAGTTTGCCGGATGTCAGGAGGCTGGTTAATAAGAGACAGGTCTAGAGTGCCCACAAGGAGGTTAGGCAATATTTAACTTGGGTTAAAATTTCTCAACGAGGGGTCAGAGTGTCCAGGAAATTCTGAAGGGGAACTTAACTGTAGCTTCAGGGCATCGGTGGCCTGAGAGCAGCGATCTGGCACTCCTGCCAATCTCCTTCCTCACTCACGGAAATCTACACGCGTTACGCACTCATGCATGAGCACTCCGCTCTTCATTCTGTATGTCCCTTAGGTACCTCTCCTCCATATTTATTCTTTTTCAATTTTTAATTGTGGTAAACTACACATATCACAAAATTTACCATCTTAACCCTTCTGAAGTGTATAGCACTGTTAAGTACATTCAGTGCTGTGCAACCAACCTCCAGAACTCTCTTCACCTTTCAAAACAAGCTTTGTGCCCACTAAACACTAACTCCCCATTCCCTGCTCCTCCCTACCATGTAGCACTGGGCAACCAGCGTTCTACTTTCTAGCTCTGTGAGTTTGCCTACATTAGATACTTCACACAAGGGAAATCATATAGTATTTATTTGCCTTTTTTTTGGTCTGGCTTATTTCACTTGGCATGACATCGTCGTTTCCTCAAGGACTTTTTTCTTTATTTTTGTTAACATTTAAAAAATCCGTATGGCATGACGGTCACTACTTAAGGAAAGATAAGGTTTCTTTCCATTTCTGAGTGTGCGATGCTGTTATAGTTCAGGCCCTGAGCAGAGCTAGTTTTTCAGTTTCATGTTGGTTTATTTTAACAGGATGAGGTTCTGTTTGTTATAAGGGGTGTGTAGTCAAATGTTTGTTAATTTTGTGGTCCTTCATCTTTTGTTATTGAAGTGTTGAGGTAAACAAGCTTTATCCCCTACCATCTCCTTTTTAAACCTTCCATTTCCTGTAGTTACCAACTGCATGTACAGACTCTATAGAAGTTAGTGTGCTAAGCTAAAACAACTTAATGGGAGTAACTCTACATAAGGCTTATTTCCAAAGACTAGTATTGGTTAGAGTAGCAAAACTGTAAGCTGACCTAGGCATGGCGTAAAGCCATTCCAAAAGTAGCTCAAAGTTTTGTGAATGGAAATAGTAGTGCTCAAGTCACATTCTGCTTTAAAAGGTTGTGACAAATTCAGATGAATTAAAAAGAAAAAAAATCATCAAGTTTCATCCATGTTGTAGCATGTGTCAGGATTTCCTTCCTTTTTAAGGCTGAATAATGCTCCATTGAATGAGGAGATCACGTTTTGCTTATCCATTCATCTGTCGATGGACACTTGGGCTGCTTCCACCTTTTGGCTCTGCTGAATAATACTGCTGTGAAGGCAGGGATACAGATACCCCTTCGAGGCCCTGCTTTTGATTCTTCTGGGTGTATACCCGCAAGTGGGATTCCTGGGTCATATGGTAATTCAATTTTTACTTGTTCAAGGATCTGCCGCACTGTTTTCCATTGTCCTCCATATATTTAACAGCATTTAAATCTTGTCAAACTTTCTCCTCCCCCCATGGGACAATTATGTGAATATAAAGCATTAATCACTCTAGGAGAGTATAATGTAGAAGCTCGGAGATACAAAATCTTGGGAACTGCCATAAAAAGACAAAGCAAGCTGTGTGTCCACTTTAGAGTTCTACACAGTTCATTCTATAAATATTTATTATGTATCTAGTACGTGATAGACGCTGAGCCTAGAGAGATATTCTCTGCCTTGAAGGAGCTGCCAGACCAGTGGGAGGAAGGAATACAGACAAGAAAGGGGCCAATTGCATCCTGTAAGGATGGACATCGCCCACTAGGGGACACAGACGGGAGGCATGCTGACGCCGAACCTGGGCTTGCCGTCAGCCGGCCAGCTCCAACTGCTTCCTCACCGCCTTCACTGCACTTCCTTAGAGGGCCCATTCTTTAGCACAGGTCTTAGCACGATATTCCTTCGTTGTCCTGCTTAGAGCCCTTCAGGGGTTCCGTGTGCTCTCAGGATGGAGCCAGGGCCCCTGGCCAGCTAGTCAAAATCCCCTTCCAGCCTCCTCCGTGCCCTGACTGAACCACCGACAGGCACTGCCCACTTCACCACTTTACCGCTCTGCACCTTTGCTCCAGGAGCTCCCTGAGCCTGGCTTATCTCTCACCATGAGTGGTGCTCAGTCCTCACTGTGAATCCAAACCATCTGGAGAAATGAAGCAGCAAAACACAAAAGCAAACAACGCCAGGCCCTTGTTTGATAGAATGACATCAGAATGAACTAGAATCCCTGAAGGTAGGCCTGGGTATTTTTTCAGCTCGCCAGGTGACTCTGATTTAATAAACCAGACCTGCTACCACTGCACAGGCACAAGTCCCTTCCGGCAGCAGGACTGCCCCACGGATGCTGCTATCAGCCCAGAGACAGCTCCCAGCCTGCTCCTAGACTGAACACACAGAACCTTCCTGCCTGCGATTCGGCTAGATGAGCCCCCATTAAATCAGAAAATGTTAAAAACGCCTGCTTGTGTACAACCAACCTGAGAACCTTCCCTACAAATTACAAGTGGTGACTGCCATGTTTTAAGTGTCAGGATGCACCCAATTCCCCATATTCATTCCCTCACTTACCTCTTGACAGCAGAAGGCAATGCACATTCATCGAGCAACTCTACATGCCATGCACACGCATGCCATCTCAATCCTCACAATAACCGAGACAGGCTTATTTCCATCTTACAGATGAGGAGACCTGTTAAAAACATCAAGTATCGGCACACTGCTTTTTCATGGTGCCTATCACATTAATTTTTTACTGCCTATTTTCCCCCATAAGACCGTAAGAATGACGTTTGTTTCATTCACTGACACACGGCTGGCAAACACTGGGCCACTGCTCACTATTATTCAACAAATATTCTTTGTTAAGTGAGTTAAGAGCATTCTGGTTGTTCTCTCCTGTCTGCTTGTGGGCTTCATTCTTTTCACTACAGATCATCTTGCTTGTACCCACTGCACCTAAGCTCAGGACCCCCTCAGCTTCTTCCACAACAGAGCAACCTCACCTCAATTCTAGGCTAAAAAAAAAAATCACTAACAAAAATTCTAGTTTTAAAAGAAAAGCATGGTGTCTACTGTAGGCTAATCCAGCGGGCTCTAGGAGTCAAGCCATTTGAGGATAAGAAGGGCCAAGAAAGTACAGTTCCCAGAAGTGAGGTGCATTGAGCATGTTGGGTAAAATTCATGACCATTCTGCACCTCACTTTCCTCATCTACAAAATAAGGGAAATCCAATCCAAGGATTAATGTGAGAATTAAGCTAGATAGTCCTTATAAAGTCCTGAGAACTACGCCTGCTACACAGTAAGCCTGACTCACTATTACACAGGTCTATGATTAAAAGGTTGAGCATACATCTTCCATATCATGCATTATTCTAGAATAGGGGGTTGGCAACCTTTTTATTTAAAAGGCCCAATAGTAAATATTTTGCTTTGTAGGCCATCTGATCTCTGTGTGCGCTACTCAACTCTGGTTCCTGTAGCAGGAAGAGCAACCATTGACAATACATAAATGAATGGGTATGGCTTTGCCCCAATAAATCTTTCTTTCCAGACAGGTAGGCTAGAGTGGGCTGCAGGCCATAGTTTGCTTGTCTCTTTCTAGAGCAGTGCTCTCCAACAGAAACATAATGCAAGCCACAGATAGAATTTATAATTATCTAGTAGCCACATTAAAAAACAAACAAGCAAAATTAACAATATATTTTATTTAACCCAGTATATATAAAATATACTGCCATTTGAACATGTAATAGATAGAAAAAAATAGATACTTTATATTTTTTCATACTAATTCTCAAGTTCGCTGTTTTATACTTCCTGCACAACTCAGTTCGGACTAGGCACATTTTCAAGTACTAAAGAGCCTTACATAGCTAGTGGCTACCATACTGGACAACACAGCTCTAGAGCATATGCTAATATAGGTAATGCTTAGATACCCAACCTATACTGCCAGCTTCTGAATACATATCAAAAATAGAGTTTATACAGCACCAGCAAGAGTAGGCCCTAAAAATCTGTTGACTGAATGCATAGGAAAGCTTGTAAATATTAACTAATAGTACAGTATGGGCAAGGTGCACATTTCTCTTTAGATCTCTCTAAGATCTAAAGAGAAAGTTTAGCTTTCTAGCTGTAACCTACATACCCCTCTCCAGCTACACAGGAAGCTCCTTCCCACTATGGAGAGAAATGCCAGATGTTGGTAGGGGCATGGAGGTTTCTGAATTGTCACTCAATACTGCACTGGGGCCCTCTCGCATTCTGCTGATCCCTAGCAAAGGTGCAGCAAGTGGAAGGGACCAGCTTAAGGGCCCGCCGGGTTTGGGTTCCAGTGGGTGAGGTGGAGCGACAAGCAAAGCCTGCTGCAAACCGTCCCAGGGTGACAGCCTGGCACCAAAAACACACCGTACGACCTCATCTGGAGGAGTAGAGGAGATGTAGGAACTTTCGAGTCTGCTCAGCTTAGAGCGCACCAAGACCCTGCCCCCCACCCCCGCAGGCCCGCCCAGGACGCACAGGAGACCCTCCCCCTCCTCCCTTCGCTCCCCCTCTCCACCCAGAACAGGCCCGCCCCTGGCGCACTGAGACCCTCCCGGAGCAGGGGTGGGCACAGACCCAGGCGAACCGGGGCGTGGCTCACCGAGAAAGGCAGGCGAATAAGGGGAGCCATCAGCTGCCTCCACGTCTGGAGAGATCTCCCGGTTCCCAGGGCCAGGGCCGGACTGCAAGGGCTCAACCAATCAGAGCGCACAGATTAGAGACCCTGGCCCGCATTCAGCGCATGCGTGCTAGGGAAATAGCGCCTGCGCAGAGCAATCAGCGACTGGGGGGGCCGCCTTTCCACGGCTTGCTGGGTGAGGGGGGCCCGGGGCCCAGAGTCCGGAATCCAGACACGAATTGAAAAAACCAGCGCGGCTAATGTTTTTGAGCGGCAATGTTGAACTACTCTACAACGTACCCTTTCTGCTTCCAGTCAAGACAGTGCTCAGTTAAATATTACCAAAACTTTGGACAAAATGTTAACTATTTAACACAGTAATTAATTCCATGAGTATTGCACCCCTGGCATGCATTAGTTGGTGTGAAAGTGGTAGTCGTTCATTAAGCAGCCATGTGCATCCTGCACTAGTCCCCTGTACATATCTTTCCCTGCAAGGGTCCAATAAAAGCAAAGTGATGGTGGCACTAGTGAATGTGGCGACCTTCTTTGCTGATTGCCTCCTGTAGGATAACTCGGGGGAAGGTTCGAGGAAGCAGGGCTTTGCTATGGATTGGATGCATTCGAGAAGCAGGGTGATTCTATGAATCAGCAGTGTAATAAACCTTACCTAGAAAGAGGGAAGACAAGACCAAGACTAAAGCTGTAACTAGTTAAAAAAAAAAAAAAAAAGCAGTGACAAAACTGTTGAAATGCATTCTGGATGTAACCTAATAGACTAGTTAAAAAGTTTATTGCTATAAGATTGTTTCTATCACAAGAACAAAGTTGAGACATCTATAAATCTAATTTACTGAACAAGCTGGGCTCCGTAACATGTATATAATAAGAAGAAACTTTTTTCCTTACTATTCAAACAAGCTCTGTGGTCTCTCTCCCCTGCCTGATGCCTCCTTCAGGGCTAGAGTTTGAGGCCTGAGCAAACCCCACAGCTTTTCCAATTACTTTCAGGTATAATGAAATCATTTTATTTATTTTTTTTTAGGCTGTTAAAAAGTCCTTTCTGCCCTGGCTGGTGTGGCTCAGGGGATTCAATGCCGGCCTATGAACCAAAAGGTCACTGGTTTGATTCCCAGTCAGGGCACATGCCTGGGTTGTAGGCCAGGTCCCCCAGCTGGGGGTATGCGAGAGGCAACGAATCTATGAATCTCTTGCACATTCATGTTTCTCTCCCTCTCTTTCTCCCTCCCTTCCCCTCTCTCTGAAAAGTAAATAAGTAAAATCTTTTTTTAAAAGTACATTCTAACCTAATATGAAATTTTCAATTACTCATCCATTGCAAAGCTCCGACCTTCCCTCAGCTCAGGTGTAGTTTGTAACTCTGTGGAACAGCAAATGGAAAGACATATGGATTATGTCTAACCCTCAGAACCTGTGAATGTGACCTTATTTTGGGGAAAAACGGGGGGGTCTTTGAATATATAATTGAGTTAATGATCTCAAGATGAGATCATACTGGATTATCCAATCCAGGTGGGCCCTAAATCCAATGACAAGTGTCATTATAAGAGACAGAAAAGGAAGAAACACGGAGGACTGAGGTGAAGGCCAAGCAAAGACAAAGGTGGACATTGGAGCTAGGCAGCCACAAGCCAAGGAACTCCCGCAGCCACCAGGACTGGAAGGAGCACTGAGGGGTTTCCTCCCACAGCTTTTGGAGGGAATGTGGTCCTGCTAACCCCCTGAAGTTGAACTCCTGACTCCAGAACTGTGAGACAATGAATTTCCATTCTTTTAAGCCACCCAGTTATGGCAACCACAGGAAACTAATATGAACAATAATGTTGTTACCTAGTATTGGAACTCTCTGTGTGCTAATGTCCGAAGGCTGCCTCTTTTCTTCTTTTTATGGGCTCATTTTTGGGATTTTTCAGAGCCTCCTTCCCTGGCTGGGGGCCCTTTCTCACCCATTCTCTGGTTCAGGTGATACACTGTCTTGTTGACCACTAGCTTCTGCTTTTGGCGGCATGACCCACTGAGCCTTTTTCTGTTTGCTCACTTCACCCACAGACAGGCCTCACAGGCAGGATCCTCCAAAAACAACCTAAACCCAGCTACTTGCTTGATAGGCACTTAGCCCATGGGAAAACCCCAGCAGCTCCGCCCCCCCCCCCCCCCCCCCCCCCCATCCCCGCCACTAATCCCTGGAAGCTGAGGCTGCTCCCTCTGCAGCTACTCTCCTCACTGTCATAGGGAGTCTTAGGCAGCCCCAGCTGGCTTCTCAGCTGTTGAGTTTTTCAGGAGAGTCAAACAGCATTTTTGGTGCCCTTTCATGACAGGGGAACCTGTCAGTCTCTCTGAGTGGTTCTCTCAAAGTCCCCTCCACTTGCCTGCAAGGTGGGAGGAAGCTTCGAGAATTCTAACAGGCCTCTTTCACTCTTGCTTTCTCTTTGACATAAGCTGAAGATGGGTGAGGGACCATGCATGGCAGAAGTAGTTTGGGCTCTCCACTTAGTCCTGTGTAGATGGTCTAGCATATCTCTTTAGAATCAGTGGGTATTTAGCATTGTGTTCTGTGTTGGGGCCTTGGGCAAAACTCCAAGCCAGGAAGAGTCCCATTTAATACCCTCTGTTCCTGTAGTAATAATTTTTAGGTCATTTTCATACCTCTTCTTCTCCTTTCTGACACCATTTAGTCCATTTTGTCATTTCTCTAGAATGTGGGTTATTCTACCATAGATTCATGGCAACAGATTATCAGAGAAATGAAGGACCAGCAAGTCTGGCTTTTAAACTGCTTCTTGGTGCAGATCATAGGATGAAAAATTCAGACGCAATGAAACAATATTTATACTATTTGGTTACTGGGGAAGCTTCAAAATGCCATTTAATTTGAAAGATATAGAAAAAGTACAGACTTCTGGTCAAGATGGCTGCGTAGGCAGACATGGTTTGCCTCCTTCCACAACCACATCAAAATTACAACTAGAATACAGAACAACCATCACTCGGAACCATCAGAAATTGACTTGAATGGAAGTCTAACAACTATCGAATTAAAGAACCATATCCATCCAGACTGGTAGGAGAGGCACAGATGCAAAACAGGCTGGTCCCACATTCGTATGTGGTGGATAAAAATTTGGGAGGGATATCTCAGGAGCGAGGAGTCCCAGCACCACACCAGGCCCCCTAACCCAGGGTTCCAGTGCCAGGAAGATAAGTCCCCACAACTTCTGGCTGCAAAAGCCAGCGGGGATTGAGTCAGTAGAAGAAACTTCTGGAGCCCCAAGCTGTTCCTCTCAAAGAACCCACACACAGACTCACCTACTCAGACTCACTCCCTCTGAGCTTTAGCACTGAGGTAGCAGTGTGAAAGTCACCAGTGGCATAAAGGGAGAACTGAAGTGTCTGGCATCAAGGCGAACAGAGGCCATTGTCTCTTTTATGAACCCTCCCTCCACAGAGCCACAGAGCTGGCAGACTGGTGCCATATCTGAGACTCCATCAACCTGGTTAATACCGTTTGCCCCGCCCTGGAGATCCCCTGAGACTCCGCCCCACCTAACTTACGGGCCCACCCATGCTGCTTTTCCATATGAATGGCTGATCCTGGCTTATGCTTCACAACTTCCTAAATCCTCTCACATAAGCAACAGCTGGCCTCAGTGAGCCCTAGGCCTGGCACTAGCAGCAGCCAGCCTAGATTCAAAGCTTGGCTTCACCTGGGAATGTCCAAGCCCAGCACAAGTAGCAACCATCTCAGATTGCTTTATAGCTCAGGCAGGGTGGCCCCAGGCAAAACACAGGTGGGGGATGACCTTGGCCTGCACCACTTGGGAACTCCAGGGCCAGTGCACCCAGTGGACAGCTGCAGACCCTGTCAGAGCACCACCACCCCGCCCCTGCACAGCTAATCCTCCATGGCGAGCAGAGAGTGGTGGTCAGCGGTCACAGCCAGTCCTTGCAGCTGACTGGCCTGGGTCGATCCCTCCCATTGGCCTTCCAACAGCAATCAGGGCTCAACTACAAGAGGAGGGTGTTCTCAGCCCACATGAAGGGCACACCTCAAGTACCCAGCTTGGGTGATAGGGGAGGCTGTGCCACAGGACCGTATAGGACACCTACTACATTAGACCACACTATCAAGACATGGAGTCAAAGAAGTTGCACCTGATACATAGAAACAAACACAGGGAGGCTGCCAGAATGAGGAGGCAAAGGAACATGGCCCAAATGAAAGAAAAGGTCAAAACTCCAGAAAAAGAACAAAATGAAATGGAGATAAGTGATCTATCAGATGCAGAGTTCAAAACAGTGGTTATAAGGATGCTCAAGGAATTTAGTGAAGACCCCAGCAGCATAAAAAAAGATCCAGTCAGAAACAAAGGATACACTAATTAAAATAAAGAACAATTTTCCAGGAAATAATAGTGGGGTGGATGAAGCCAAGAATCAAATCAACGACTTGGAACATAAAGAAGCAAAAAACAATGAATCAGAACAACAAGAAGGAAAAAAATCCAAAAAATGAGGATAGTACAAGTAGCCTCTGAGACAACTTCAAGAGGTCCAACATTTGCATTATAGGGATTCCAGAAGAAGAGAAAGACCAAGAAATTGGAAATCTATTTGAAAAAATAATGAAGGAAAACTTGCCCACTTTGGTGAAGGAAAGAGACATGCAAGTCCAGGAAGCATAGAGAGTCCCAAACAAGATGGATGCAAAGAGGCCCACTCCAAGACACATCATAATTAAAATGCCAAAGGTTAAAGATAAGAGAGAATCTTAAAAGCAGGAAGAGAAAAGAAGTTAGTTACCTACAGGGGAGTTCTCATAAGACTGTCAGTTGATTTCTCAAAAGAAACTTTGCAGGCTAGAAGGGATTGGAAAGAAGTATTCAAAGTCATGAAAAGCAGGGATCTATAGTCAAGATTGCTGTACCCAGCAAAACTATTGTTTAGAATCGAAGGACAGATAAAGAGCTTCTCAGATGAGAAAAACTAAAGGAGTTCATCATCACCAAACTATTATTATATGAAATGTTAAAGGGACTTATTTAAGAAAAAGA